GAAGCCAATCTTTGAAACAGTGGTATGTTTTTAGTAGATGTTTAGAAAACCAAGATTTATGCTTAAGTTAACATGGTTACCTCCTGTTTGAGAACACATTTGTTCCATATATGCACGATGTAGAGATATATTTCAAAAATTTAAAATGTTCTACTGAGTTAGAGTAAATGACTTGCTCAGTCAGAGATGAGGGACGAACTGAAAATCTTTTAGGTACTCATACTGGAGACCACAGTTCATCTTTAGATTCCACAGCTATAAAACCAGACTTGACATACAACATCTTCACTACAAAGCATTAACATATTCATGAGCAAGGCTCATCATTTTTCTAATAAGTACATAAACCAGAAAATCTGCTGCTGGGAATTGTTTTCCTTAATGTCTCCAAGTGAATGTTAGCATCTAACCCACAGGACTAAAAACCAACTGAAGTCAAAGGAAAGACTTAATGGTTTCAAAGGGGCTTTAGCTGGGTCCCAATGGGCGACATTAATGACTGGAAAAATGCATTAGGTAAGAACACAGCATGGCATATGGTGATTGTCTCTGAAGCCTTAACTGTACTGAGAAAGTTACCTGAGCACCTGTTCTAACTCCATTGCAATAAGATGAGATACCCTTATCAATAACTCTTCCAGTTACCAATAGGGGTCAAAAAGTGAATCTAGAAATTTTGATGAAGGAAACCTCAGAGKAAGCTGGGTTTATTTTTCTGTTTAGAATACAAATAGAACTTTTTGTGACTTTGCATATTTATTTAAGTTCTTTTTGTACATTCCCTAATATTTTGATAATAGAGGGTTATATGAAATAGTTACAAGGATGGTTGCAACCYTTTGACATTTCTTTAATTGTATCCAGCATTTTCAAATTCTCTAAACTAAAAATTTTGCAATTTCTTGGAAACGAACCTTTAAATGTTGTTGTAAAATTAACTTCTTGAATTTCTATATTTATAAAATTAATTAACAAATTAACTCTGCCCTCCTGAGCCCCTCAAATTACATCTACTTTTTAATTGGAATGTGTGACTTTTTTATAACACAGAATGAATTTATAATCTACAACCTTACTTTATGAACAACTACAGTTGTAGTTTTTAACTTTAGTTTTTGTTTTAGTTTTTTAATTTATAATCTACAACTCTGATTTTATGAAGACTTTCTTAAACCATGTGCTCTTTTTGCATTTTTGAGCYATTTACATGTTTTACAACATTATCAGGGAATTCAGTTTGTACTTATGAGGGTAGAAATATCAATGAAGTTGTTAAATATAAAGATTCTGCAGTGAGATTATAATCACAGGAAAGACCACTTTCTATCAAAAGATTTATTTGCTTAGGAAATTTCTGAAAAACTGTCTGCTCTTATTTTCATATTTTATATAAAAGATGGCATATACAGCAGCTGATTTTAGAGAGTATGCAGTATTGTTATGTAGTAGTAGGTTGTATAGAGAACATCATTGACATATAATGATGGTATCCCTATTTTTTCCTTTATATAACCTTGATTTAGCTTGCTTATKAATCAAAATCCAATATGGAAATCTTCCCAAGGTTTCTCTTCTTGCTGACTTGTATTTTTCTCCCTGACATTTAACTCAGCACTCCCATCTCTTTTAAATTGAAACTGCATTATTTGACTCTTCCAAAACTCCAGATGTAATTTATTAGAGAAGTCATATACAAATAAGACTGCCACTGTTAAATATGAAKGAAGTACATCACTGACATCAACCAAATCTAGTTTTATTTCAACAAAATAGATCACTTTCTTATTCTTAGCTTAAACCTTCAGACTGTTCTCCTGGATGTTATTTCATGAGTGCTATCATAAATCCATATTCTAATGTTAAAATATCAAACCTTTAAATGGGTGCAGTAATGTATGTTCATTATCCATATTCTAAAGTTAACTTGGGTCCCTTACTAAATTCCAGCTAYTCAGCTTAGTACCTCAGTACACGTGGGGAGCTGACGAGTTCCCTAGCAGTAGAGGCACAAAAAATTATACCCTGAGCTGCTTAGGAACTAGGTCTTCATAGTCATTCCTTTAGGGCCTATCGATCTGTTTTATATGCAGTTATGCCCTGCTCAAACATCCATGTTACTGAACTTGGAAATCATCATAAATTCTAGTATAATTGAGCAATTATCCTGGGATTACAGATTGAACAGGGCATGCGCAGTAGGAAAGGTCTCCTAGCTTTATGGCTGTGGTACCATTACCCTGAGCAGAAGCTGAGGACCTCAGTAAACTAGAACTTTCTAAATATCCTTTGAGATGAAGTCAAGTCTCTTTCCTAAATTTCTCAGTTTACATACATGGAGATTTAATATCATGTTCAAACACTGTAGGCTGTAGAGAAAATACACGGTGTTATTTTTCTGATAAAGACTGTTGATCTAATTCATTCTTTCCGTTATAATGCCTGAATAAATTAATTCTTTCAGTTATAATGACTCCTGAACTCCTGGCTGCCAAACGAAAGAGTCCAGAAGTGCAATTTCTCCACTTGAAAACTGCTTCCAGACTTTGGAGTAAATCTTCAGAATGTCGCTTGAGTAGACATAAGGGGTTATGGATCCATCTCTGTGCCATCCGCTCCACTATCKATCACTGGGCTAGAAATCCAACAGGCTCATTGATTCTATTCAAGACAATTAATTTTTGGCATCTATGTTACTTGCCTTTATAATGCAATAGTGTACCTAACTAGGGCAATAAAGGTCCCTACCTAGCTGTGCATATATTTCTTTCTCATAAAACAGGAGGGTTTCAAAAGATTCCAAAATAATATTTTACTATTTAAAATACTGAAAGCTACAATGCACCTATTTCTTTTAAAAACATATATGTTCTGTATGTTTTCTATATAAAAATACATCTGTTTTACGTATTTTTCTTGGTCAACCAAGAAAAACATCTTAGAAAAGTTTTAGGGGAAATTTTGACTTCTCAACTCTTGTATCTTATATTTTTCTTTGTTGTTTAATCTTTGCTTTAGTAATTGACACTGGTTCCTTTTTTCTAATACTAAGAAAATTAATCAGTATGCACATTCATCCAAACAAAGCATGTTTATGATTTGCTGTCTTGGAATTATCTGTAACATAAGTGATTTTTTTGACTGTAAATTTTCAAGATCTCGTGATTAGGGCTGACTTGGCTGTTTGGTGGATGTATGGAATACATCATGTAAGACCTAGTGATGACTGCTAATTAGAATAATCAGATTCTACGGTTGCTCTTTCATAAATCAGAAAGAAGATGGATTTTTTATTAAGAAGATACAGTTGATTAGCTATAAAACTTCTTCAGAAATGGAGATTAAATATGCTTTGTAGTTAGGATAGACTAGCATATTCTGTCAAGGAAAATTTTCTTACTAATCTCCTGAGAAATCAATAGAAGTATAATGTTTGCAGAAGCAGTTGTTTGCACTGACTTATCCTATGTTTTTTTCTAAATAATTTTCTTGTAAGAGTATTTTGGAATGTATCATTTTTCTGGCTTTTTCTGTATCTCTTTTATTCTACACAAAGAGCAGCTGTAAAAGTGGACTTTGAGACAATGATATGAAAGGACACTGTTCTGCTATAAAACAGTATTTATTGCAGTACATCTTCAGAGAGTTTACACCAGTTCTCCTTACATAAAAATCTGATCCACAAGTGAGAAATTTATTATACATACTTTTCTCTGAATCTCACATCAAATGCCGTCTGCTCCCAGTTTTGTGCAGTTAATCACTATGGTAAGGCATATGAGATTTTCCTGAAATACTTATACAATAAAATCTATAATGCATAACAATCTGTAACCATGTATGAAAGCATATTTATACCAGAAGTGTGTGTTTTCCCTATCTGTATAGAAATAAAATACACCAACTGAAACACGATTATATGACTATATGAACTATGTGAATGCATAATTTTTATTATAGTGGTATATACAAAATGATACAAATGGTAGGTGCAGACAAATCCTAAAGCCATGTTATATCATTTTGGCCTGTAGAGTGTCTGTACCAAATAAATCAAACCAATTTATAAAGGTTCTTAGGGCAGAGGCAAAATTAAGCCCTTTAGATCTTGTTATATAACATGTGCCGTTTAAGTAACTGCTGAGCACACTGATATAGCAAAATTTTAAATCAGTCAGGCCACAACCACGGGAAAAGATGCTACAGTAACAAATGTGCTTGGGTTTTGATGTGCAGCATAGTAGGTTTTGTTAATTTATTATTATCTGGTTTAACCTCCATGACGCTCCAAAAAAACAGTGCATTTTGTATTGTGATTAATTTGACACTCGTGTGTGCGTGGAAAAACCCTGAGCTGGAAACTTTTGGTGTTTCCAATAATGATATTTGTTTTCAGTCCAAAATCATGCATACAACCTGAAATCCATGTAACAAAGTTATCCAAAATACAACTTCATCTTTAATTGCATTTAACAGAAAAATACAGAAATTTATGCCTTTATCTGTCTCATTGCAGGTAATGGTATTAATGTATTTTCCTTTCTGAAATATAACACAGAAATAGCTGCTAAGCAAAAGAATAAATAACAAATCCCCTGTTTCTCTATGAATACTTTTGTTATACAAAGATGCACATTTGAGGATCAACAGAGAAGACAGTATATTTCTATGTTATGAGACTTATTTATTCTGAAATTTAGACATGCTTTTAATAAACATGAGCTCTTGTTTTCTAGGAGGACCAGTTATAAGTATACTGTCTTAGTATTTACCATTAAGATACCACACAAGACTTTCACTAAAGCAAAAGGTAACATATTGTACAAAAGCAAATGCTCTGATTTACATTATACGCTAACATGTTCCTATTATGCAAGGAAACAGAGCTGGAAATAACTGTCTTTTTTAAACCTTTAGCTGAATATGATCTCATGTATTAGTAAAGATAAATGCACATATAAATGTGAATTAGTAAAGAAACCCTGACACATGGCAGAGCTTACCTGAACACTTCTCAGCAGATCTGCTGCTTGGCTGTCCAAAGCCTGTGAGTCCCTGAAATAGTGAGACAGAATAAACTCAATGTAACCATTATGTAGCCTACTAAATTCACTTCAACATTTCAGAATCAAATAATAAAACATACGCTTCACAAACTATTCAAAAAGAGTAAGCATGCAACTCCAGCTGGAAGAGATTTTGTTCACAAACTGAACAGTAATAGGCGTCTAGTTTATTCTCATCAAAAAAGTAAACCAATCACATCATTGACAAAAAGCCACTGTAAACAAAAAAACTGTATTTAAAGGATTAACAGTTTTGGTATCCCTGCCATCAAGTTTTCTGTTCTTTCTCCATCAAAATTTAGGTTATATATTTGTTGTTAGCAAGAGTTGCATTACTATTATTGTTAATTTTAGTTCTGTTTATTACCTTGAGGGTTATGTATTGAAGAATAATTTTGTTGTCACTAGTTAATGTTAATTAGCTGTTTTAATAGCCTATATGCCTATTTGTTATCTTTTGGTAGGTTTACTTTTTTAACTATCAGTAACTTAATAACTGAGAATATTTAACATTACTGTTGCATACTCAAAATTACAGAGTTACTATTAGTGTTACCTGTTTAACGTTTAGTCATCCTTTGAGTCCTGCGACATATTTCCTTAACAATCATCAGCCATCAATCTGATAGTCTCATAAGAAATATCAGCCCTCTAAACTGCCTTCAAGGGCGGTGATATTTAGCACTGAAAATTACAAATAAAGTTTTTGAAGTTGAGTACCAACAAGTGGGCAGTGACACTGATGATTTGTTTATCAAGACAAATTATTATATACTACAAAGATGCAGTCAACGCACTCCTCTGAGTGAAAACAAATATGTGAAGCTATGCAATGCTTACATGTTGAATGGGATATTTAATGTGCGGGGAAACTCAAAGGTTGAAGAACTAGCATTTAGACAGTCTAACAGTGGTAAGTGGTAATCTTACCTCTTTAAACTCCATTACATTCTCTCGAGAGACATGCTAATACAAACAAGTCAATCAGAGTTTGTGTTTAGCAAGATCAAGCTTAAGAGGATAGTTTAAAATCCATTTATTGTTCTAAAGCATTTTTTTCCATTAACATGTTATACATTAGTGGATACTAACCATGATTCATGTAACAGTTTAGTTTGTTAACTTTTAAATTATTTAACAACCAGAAGTTATTAATACAACTTTTAAAGTCTTACACAAAAAATCTTAAAACAGGCTTGGGTTCATTTTTGTAATTTTTATATATAAAACATTTTAGGCATCTCTTGAAAAAGAAATAAAGCAGGCATTTAAAGCTAGAAAACAAGTAATTCCAAATTTAGTTTGTTACAAAAGGTTTCAGCTTTATTGACAAATTATGGCAAACATATTTGACAAAATTATGGTTTCCTATTTAGAGAAGCTTACACATGGAACTTTATGTGATTTTTTTTAACAAATACAGGTTAAAACACTGAACAAATTCAGTTAGCTACATACATACAGTAGCTGCTTGTTTTCAACCCCATTAAAACAGCATTTAAAATTAAATTTACAAACTTAATATCGAACATCTTAATCTAAACTAACATATATTAAAAAAGACAGGTTAAAACATCTTATCTACAGCTTGATTATTGTCTGGTTCAAATAAAAAGAGGAAAAAAAAAGAAAGAATCATATTACAGTCTTTCAGCAACCCTGAACAAAAACYCAGCCTTTAGCTAGTATGTAGAGAGACTCAAGATCTGTAACAGTGTCATGCTTTTAAGTTACACACAGCAATGAATACAACCAACAGAACATCATCTTTGAACGGTCTATAGACAATGCTTGCCAAAGATTTTCTGTTTTTGTGTTTTTTTTTTTAAGTCCGTGTTATAAAATAATACTAATGCCAATGTCACTCCAATGTTATAGGAAATACAGGTAGTACATAGGATAATAATGAGCAGTAATCCCTAGGATAGAAAAGAAATGGACTATTACTTGTCGTGTTGCTGTTTATGTGGAGACCACAGGCTATTAATTGTCTTTGAGATGAGGTCACAGATGAGGAAGACCTTCAATATCTACCATAGGGGTGTTCCCTGTAACCCCCTCGGGCTGACCTTGGAGGTGGTGCCTTTAGGCTGGAACGGGTTGTGGCCCATTCTTCTTGTGCTAAAAACAGAAGAAGAAAAGACATGTTTTGTGAGTGTCTAAACCTGAAAGAGCAAAGTGATCTCACCACTAATGACTGTCAAAATCCTGGATGGTTTTGGCTGAAAGCTTAGCGCAAAGAAAATGAGATGGTGTTATCATCCATTTCTCCATCCTTCCCCAAAAACCAACGGAAAACTCTCCTTTTACTTCTCTATACTGACAACTTGTCTATCTCTGGATGAAAAAAGAAAAAGTCTTTTTCGCTTTCAGCAGAAAAACTGCAAAAATCACTGCATGAGTCTGCCAGTTCAGAATTTATTCTGTATTTTGGGCTTCTGGCATTAAAGCTAAAGCACCAATGTGAATAACATTTAATGTAGTTGGTATGTTAATAAGATCAGGAGTTGAATCATAAAAGTATAATTGAAATACATTTTATTTTCTACTTCCATTTGAGGCAAAAGAAAAAGAAAATAATGAAGGAAAAAGCATATTTGTAAACAAAAACTACTAAATTGAAATATATTTTATTTTCTACTTCCATTTGAGGCAAAAGTAAAAGAAAATAATGAAAGAAAAAGAATATGTGTAAACAAAACTATTACATTAAGCAAGAGTTTTACCAAATAGCTTGTACTTGGCATTTTACTTACAGTGCATTTTTAAAGTTTGTGTTAATGAAATATGTTGGCAAGACACATTAAAAAAAAATGAAGACTAGCTCAGTTTCTACTTTTACAGATTGTCCAGACAAGGAATTTCTGGAATTTAAGGCTTCCAAAGGAGGAAGCAGGAGGCAATCTAAAGGAACAGTCTAGTGGCAGAAGCTTGACCTCCCACCTTAAGCTCTGTCCTAAATTAACTAGTTAACCATAAAGTGCCTTGTCTCCCTGTGCCTGCTGCTCACATTCAAGTGACCACACACACAGTGATCAAAGTGGTAATGCAGAAGTTGCTCTGTATCATCTGCCTTACATCACATCTCAATGCAGCCTCCCACCCAGGAATCCTAGAATACATCGGACATAGACACGCTCATCAGCCAGCTCCAAATCTCAGCATATCCCACACAAAGTTCTCTGATAATCTACCAACTTCTTTTTTAATGAAACATTGAAAATATCCAGAAATCTCAGTGTGCAAATGTTAATTMTTTTTTAACACTGATTCATTTTATTGATGATTGGTACATTCTCATTAAAAGTATATTTAGAAGGCATTTTGTTCCAGCATTTTGTTTTGGCTAAATACTGCTGACTTTTGCACTCAGTATGGAAATGATTACTTGCCTCTAGACTAAAATACTAAATGGTTAAAACAACCTTTGTAAAGACAGCTTTTGTAAAAAAAAAAAAGAAATTATGTTCTATGGAAATAGAAAAAAGACGGAAGCATAAAATATAAAAAGCAGGCTAAGATTTGGAAGTCATTTCTTTCTTCYCTGCAAAATGTCTTTACATCAGCTACATCTCATTATCTCACTGCCTTTGGGCAGGTTGGGAAATGCCTGGATGAAAGCAGTGGCAGAACCTGAAGCAGGATCAGGCTAGTATTAGGAGAGGACGTCCCAGCAGAAGACTTGGTAGAAGCTGCCCTTGATATGGAACCAGAAGCATTTCTCTTGCAATTTTCTTGTGCATTTCCCTTATTTYCTTTTTCCTTGAGTTTCTCTGAATGTTCTCTCTTCGAATATCAGCGGGTTTTATGGTCACACAAACCCAAAGTTTACTGTGAAAAGCTACTGTCTAGAGGGCTGAAGAAGTGKCAGCCAATATGATACAGTCCTAAATCCTAGGGTGCCTCATCCCTACAGGGAATCACTTTCTATACAGTGAATTTAAAAATTCAGCCTCTGCAGTATGTTTCATTATACCCTTTAAAAATGGCATTTTGCTGTAAATGTGCAGCAGCTTCAATTACCCTTTGTTGAAGTGTCACTGTGTTTGCAGAGAGGCCTTGGGGAGAAGTAAGATTTAGATAAAAGAAGAGAAGTTTTATTTATATAAAGGAAAATTGCTACGGCAGTAAAAASACTCACTATATGTGCAACACAAAGGCAAAACAATTTCTTGTTTCCTTTAGCTTCCCTCCCCTACTTCCAAACTGATTGCTGTCATATAAAGGAGAAATGCACAATTATGAGCACAGTAAAAAACGACATTGTTTTACCAGTTTGAAGAAGCTATTTTTCCTCAACTAATGGTCTTCTTAAAGTATATTTCTGCTGCAGCCATACCAGTTTTGACACTGAACAAAGCAGAAACCATRATTTGTGGCATAAATATCTTTATTTCAATAGCATGGTAAACCTATTTGGTTGTTTCCTAACTTTAAGGCAGAAGGATGACGTTCATCACTTATTTGTATTAATTTGGTAATGCTGTCATCAATATATGAAAGAATGTTTAATAGCTGACAACTCTTCTTGACATGGCACGATAGACCTTAATTGTATTTACAATTACATTTACAATTTAATTGCATTTAGAAATACATTTGCAACTGTATTACAACAATTTATAGCCAAAATATAGACAAAGAGTTTGGGTTTAGAGCCTTCAGCTGTCAAAACTGGTCTCTACCATTCCAACTGCAGCGATGGGTTCTTTCTTTACAGTGGAGAAAGCAAGATGCTATGAAGCAACACTACAAAGAGCCTCTGAATCACACAACACTAATATATTTCAAGATGCTGCCTCATTGAAAAAGAAATTGATTTACTGGTGCTTTTTTTCCTACAGGGATTTATAATGAAGATTAATGTAGCTGCATGCTGGATAACTAAATGTTCTTTGTTGTGAAAGCCAAGATGATCTTTCACATATCAGATTCAGGATTCCAAATTTCCCTCTTTTTTCTTTCAACTCCAGTGGGGCCTCCTGATAACGGAAATCTCTGTCTTCAGGATAGCCTTAAAGGTTGGAACCCATGTAGACTACTGAGTAGATTTGACCAGATTGTTATGTTTCTACATGTGCACAAAGATGCCCTTCAGCCATCTGGATGMCTAACGTGAGTTTCATTATGTTCCAATATCATTATATTATATTTTATTCCRTGCAAGACAGGCTAGAATTGAGTAAATAAATCTTTTATGCTGATACTGCTCTTCTAGACATGTAATTCCCCTTCAATTTGTGCCTAAGTATAGTATTAAACGTGGACTAAATTTTCATATATAACATCTATAAGCACTTCATACATGACAGAGTCAGAATGAAAGCTCAAATTTCTTTCTTAGTTGAGATTTCTCTCTGCCATTTTCAGTTGGTAGTTTCGTATCTGCCATTTAGGAAATAAATTGTACAAACCTGTATCAGTCTTGCAAACTAGATTACAATTAGCAGTCCTAAGGCTGTTGACTATACACAGAATTATRGCAGACCATGGGTACAAGGCGACATGGGTACAAACCTAGTCTTAAATGGTCTTAGTTGAGCACCAGGCCTAGGCAACTAGTGATCACCCAAAGGTTGAAACACCAAGTAGCCAGCAGGGGAACATGCAGTGCTCTTTCATGTAACACCAAAGATGCTCTGGCACATTTGCAAAGGAAACACAGCTGACTCCATAGGCCATAGAAAAAGGCAAACGCACACTAGACTGAACCACTAGCATGTGTCCATATCTAATTTCACATTGCATTTAATAGGTTGTGGTCATACGAGCACATCAGTCTAACATCTATCCCTCCAGGTGACACTGGCASTAAATTTCCAGGTCTGCTCATCCCTCTCACCTATTCTCTTCTCAGGCTCTATGGGGCCTATGTCCTTGGGTCTGAAATAACCATCTGGTCCTGTTAATATTTAGTTCCATTTAGTTTTTCCAAGTAATTTTCTTTTTTTTTTCTTTTTTTTTCCTCTCTCTTTTTTTTTTTTTTTTTAATAGTTCAGTAGTTCTCAATCCTTTTGGACCACTGAACCTTTGCTGACTACCCTGCAGCTTTATTACCAAATTCCATCAAAAGAAAGGAAAAGTTTTTATGATACTACTTCATGGTTTTTGTGGATTAGATGGAGATCTCACATGTCGACCTTCAAGGAACATGAAGGACACCACATCTCTGACATCTGTAAAAAGGAAGCATTATTGTTGCCTATTTTTTTAATAGAAAATAATTTTAAAATACTTTGAGCTTTAAGGAAAATGAACTGATGACACACCACATTCCCAGAAGTTTCTGTGGAAAAAAAAATCCTGTATAAGTGGAAATCAACATGCAAGTGGATTATTTTCCTAACTATTAAAATTGTGCCAGGGTAGCACTACAAAATAATGAAGAATAACGTGTTCAAAAAACAAGAAAATACTTATGCATGATGTCTTCAACTGATTAATCAAATACTTCCAGATCCAGAAAGGAAGAAAGATTCCCTTTCTACAAGATCCTGCCAGCCAAAGATGTCATGTCAGAATTTACAGAATGTCATAAATCTTGAGAACCAAATGGCGGGGCTTTCATAGCAAAAGCTCCTCGGTATTCAGGGCTGACAGGGAAGGATTGTGCCCCTAAAGGCCCAGAGCCTATGCAAAAGGAATATTGCCCTGTTGCAGGGTGAAACCAACAACACTCCCTGTATTCTTTGGAGCGTATCCAGTCCTAACGCTAACTGAAACACAGGAATATGTCATTGCCAGTACATGGGGAATGCAATGGAAAGATGAGGTAGTCTCACTAATTCCTATGAATGTGTCATGATTTCCAACTTCCTACTCACTGACAGAAGCTGTCATCCTAGAAACAGGTTAGAAAGACTATTTTTTGTTCCTGGAATTGCATAGTTAGTTCTACAGTGGAAAATAAGACCCTTTGGGGATTTTTTTTTAAAACATATTTGAGAATATGTTATCTAGCTAATATTATTGTTGCATCTATTAAAAAAGACTGTATGCAATAAGACTTCATCTCTGCAATGTGCATACTGTGTGCTTATGGTGTATGCTGTACTATGATTCCACTATAGTTAGTGATTGTGACTTCTTTTCTCTTGCCGATTTTTATTACAACTTCTTTA